ACAACAGATGTGTGTTGAATCCACTAAATACAAGTTACAGTATCAAGCATTAAAAAAGGGTTATAACAGTTCCTTCTACCTAGAGTGTCCTTCGTCCCTGCTTCCCAAACTCATCCTTCAGGACCACTAAGTCTGTTATGACCTTCTCTGGGACCGCCCCCCAGAATCCTAGGCACCGGGTCCTTTTGCCCCTCTAAAGGGAAATCACCCATTCATTCTCTCAGCAATTAAAACAGGATTCACTAACTGTGTGGTCTGGGCTACACACTGTCTTGGGTGCAAACGTTTTGAATAAGACACAGTCCTTTTGACCTCAAGGAGCCCAGTGAGAGAAATGGAAAGGCTTTACTGGTGAAGGGAAATGAATGACCTGAAGTCATTGCCCTCACAGAGATCAATCAAGTACCAGAATGAGTAGTGAAGATGATAAAACAATAGGAGAATGTCAAAAAGCAAAAAATTTGGGAAGCATTCTTATCTGCAATGAGATTACTCTGAGCCCTGAAAGATTTGGCTCTCCTCAAAAGTGGGGATGAGGGCAACACAGAGGGACAGAATAGCCAAGACCAGGCCTTCCAGTGAGAGCTCAACTCTTGGAGAACCATCAGGGCACCTGTGCTAACGGAGACCCCCTGACCCCACGCCACCCAATGACAGTCCCCTGCTGCGGGAACCCACAAGATTGGAAAGACTAAAATTCAAAGTCATTTTCACAGTCACAGAAATGAAGGCCAATACCCAAAGCAAATAGTGAAGCAATACTAATGGGCAAAGTGGAATGTTGGTCAGTGACTGAAACCCAAAAATCAAACAACTGAGTAGTGGCAGCTCTGGAAAACAACGCTCTCATGGGTCACAGAAGAGTCCTTGGACATATAAACAAGCTCAGTTTCCAGAAATGCATACAAGAGCTCAGGAATATTAAACTGTGTGGTCGAATAGAATAGTGGGGGCACAGGGAGTATTTGTTTTAAATTCAGAAAGGAAGTGGCTGGGTCTCTTATTAGCTAATTTGAGCAGAGTAAGTTCAAGCAAAACTACCTCCCATCTGAAGCAAAAACCATGATGTGCCAGCCACACAACTTCATGAGGCTCTTTCAAACGGAATCAAATTTAAACACTCTTTCCAACAGACAAATCCCGGTTTGAAACTTGATTCTGAAACTAGCATGGCAAGTGAGAGCAGTCTATGGCCAACTGCTAAACCTTCCACTTGGTTATTCTGAGAGCTGAAATTGGCCACAAAAAGAACACAAAATTTTCACTCTAAGAGATCAAAGAAGGCATTTCGTACCAGGAAACCCAATTCAAATCCTCACTTCCAGGAATAAAGCCACAGTGCCCAATACTTGATTGGGAAAATAAAACAGGAGACTATGTGGATTCCAATTAAAATCTCTGATGGCTTTATTTCCCAGCGTTGCTAATTTAATGCTGTGAACATTTTACCCAGGCTTCTTAAACACCAGCTTCCTGGTCTGAATGGTCACACTTACCACTGGGTAAAAGGGAAGCATTTTAGCACTTCATGAATGCATTTTTTGCCCCATCCTCAGCACTCAATGTGTAAGACAAGGTGATGCTGAGAAGTGCCAGCTTCAGCTCAACCCGTCTCCCATAACTACAGTCAGCAGAAACCAGGCTGTAGCCCATGGAATTACTTTAATCACAATATTGGAAATGAGAGGGGAGCAGAAGAAAATAGAGGGGACACAGTATGACAACAATCAGCTTGCTTTAAAATGATCACCTGGAGTCCTGTCAATCAGCCAGCAGTTCTTGTGTGCCTACTCCACACAGGCACCAGCTCAGTCTACACTCGGAACAGTGCACTGAAATATTCCCCAAGTAATCATTATGTTAATGGTTATGTGTTTAATTTTCTTTATCCTCTCACTAAAAAGTATGTATCATGTAGGTAGGTTATAAAATCTAAAAATAAAATCACTACCCATGAACACATCACTCAAAAACTAGAACAGTATCAATACTGTATTATCAACCAACCTCCTCCTTTATCCTCAGGTCCCTACAAAACACACACACACACACACACACACACACTACCATTATTCTGAATCTGGGTTTTAGTATAAGTATGAATGCATTTTTTTTTAAAGTATCACTGATATACCATCTTATGAAGGTCTCATATGAGCGACACTGTAGTTTCAGCATTATGAACGCATCTTTATAACCATATACATTACCTCCTATTCCTAACAAGAGAGTTGGTTTTCCAAATAACATAGTGATACATGGTTTCCTCAGAAAAGATGATGTCTTTAAGGGTTTTTTAAAGTGAATCATTGCTTTCAAGAAAAAATAATTACTAGATTAAATGATACTTAGCTATGCTAAGCTCATGAAGACAGTGTATGAATGAATGAAATTTGGCAAACACTGGCACAAGTGGCAGAGAGCACAGGTTGTGGAGACCCACAAATCTCTGACTCAAATCCCTACTTCTCTGACTAGCTCTACAACTTTGGGTAACTCAATTTTGCCAAGCCTCAATTTCTTATTGTAAAAAAAAAGTCCCCCTCCCCAAACCATCAAATTGGTCGCTAAATTTGCTCAAAACATATCAAAAGGATTTTGCCACCATCAAGTTTGCTTCTCCCTGATTTCTAACAAGTTGTGCATAGCTCTCTTCACGTAGAAATAAATCAAGATGCAGAAACCCAACAGAACCAGAGCAGAAGACAGTTCCCAGCCCCAGATCCTCTTTGCCTAAAGCACTGTCCATACACATCGATCTCATCTTCACCTCGTGACCTTGAACAGCAGATCATTTTTCAAATCCACTTCTGCGCCATCCCTTCCTCCCCAAGAAGGCTGGACTACTCATTCCAACCTTACCCAGAGGCCTGTCATGATCATCACAGGACTAGGTCGATGCAATCTAAGGTTAGATAAAGGCATAGTCTCTATTTACCAGATCAATCACTGGTATCTGTTCCATAGATAGATGCAAAAAATTTGGCAAATCACTACGTTAAAAAAAAAAAACCACAATGCTATGAATGGAATTCAGTTCCTCACTTCTGAACCTAATTAATTGCATTCATGAATATGGCTTCCTCCTCGTCTCTACTACCCGTCCTTAACGTTCTTCTAAATTACTTAGAGATAACAAGAAACTTACCTGGATTCAAATGAGCATTCTCTTCCAAGGCACAAAAGTTTACTACTTGAATCAAGTTTTATTTAAAACCACTTTCTCTATTTTAAGTAAAAGTCAACCACATCGATGGAAAAGGAGAGCATGAATGCAGTCCATACCCATCCCAGCCCTTGAGTTCTGCCATCTATCCAGAATTTATTCACCACCTTTGAGTATTTATATAAGGAATGACAGTACAAATGCTACTATCTAACCACACAGTATCAATTTAAGGCTTCCACATTTGGGCTTCAAAAGACTTCGATTTTTAATTCCAGGGCAGAAAACAAAAAAGCAGTGAATCATAAAAAAATGACTTGGTCTTCGAAGCCAGGTGACCCAAGTCCTGTCCAGGCCAAAGATAACTTCCTGACCCCTGTTGTCCCCCATGAGTGACATGGGTGAGGCCCATATTTCATACTTACGCATACTGTAAAGCTGGATGGCTAGCCAGTGTCTGAGGTCAGCACAAGTCTAGTTAGTGTCTGCTGGCTGCCCAAGCCCGGGCCCTGGGCCAGCCGCCCACCTCCCAGAAACGAGTGCCAGGCCATACTATAGTGTTTCCATTTAAGGCCTGCCACTCGGATCAGCCCACCTCTGAAATTTCTTACCACCACCTTTCCAGGAAGAATTTTTTTGGGAGGTAAAAGCGAGGTGGTGTCTATTTTTTGACACCGCCTTCCCCTGGGCTGTCAGAGCCGTCTGCGTCTCTGGGACAGGATTCTTCAATATCACTGGGTTATGGCTATGTCTTCATTTGAGGGCCTCTTTTCAAAAGTAAACAAAATATGTATGAGATCGGTCCTTTTTCTCAACATCTAACTCCCATCACACTCACCTCAAAAAAGGGAAGAAAGCCCAGTAAAATTAACAAATTCATTGCATTACTTTGCTACCTCTCTCCAAAAGCCAAATTAAGCACAACTTTTTAACCAAGACTTTTTTTCTGCTAAGTGGAATGTTTTCTTCCCTAAGTAGCTTCCTTTACAGCTTCTCTCCCAAGCGTTCAAAACTCCAGGGAAAAGGGGGGCGGTGGGAGACAGATCTGGCACAAACTGGACAGAGCTGAGCCAGTCTAGAACCCGACGAAAAGAAGTTAGTGAATCCAGCGGCCCCAGAGGCCCACATCTCTCCCCAGCGCGCCCAAGGTGCTAGCCTCACTGTTTGGGTTACAGTGTTGAAGGAAGGGTTTTAAACTTGGCAAAGTACCGTGCAACATCTGTAACCACATTTGCCTTCTGGGGATCGGAAGATGAATCCCACATTCCTGGCTTTGAAGCTTTTTGAAACTGCAGCTAGGAAGGACGGAGGGAGGGGAGGGAGTTGAGCAGAGTTTATTGGCTGTCTCTCCAGCAGAAGGAAATTTCTCTTGGAAGAGACGGCTATTTTGAGGGTGGGGGTATTCGCCCATCCCTTTACTCTCCACCAAGCTTGTCTAGAAAGGTGAGCCCCGTAGCCGGGCTGCCAGATCGATTTCCAAGTCAGAGGCGCACCCCCCGAAGGAGTTCACTACATACATGCACACATGCATGCATATACACACACATACACACACACACACAGAAAGCCGGGGACCCCCCCACTCCATGCCTCTGCCCTTTCCCATATCCCGCCAGCAGTTCAGGCCCCAAGCAAGACAGTTTTGTTCCGCGGCTGCTCCCCCCACCGACAGCGGATCCAGCTCGGGGGAGAAAGGAATGAAAGCGGGGGGGGAGGCACGGCAGACGCCCACCCTCCCACCCCCAGCCCTGTGCCCCGGCCTCTCCTCCCGCTCGGCGCCCTCCTCCCCCGGTCCCCGCGGCTCCCGCGGTCGCGGCCGGCGACCTGCCCTCACCTCTGGTCGCGCCGCGGCCGGGGGCTGAGCCGGGGGAGGCGGAGAGCGAGCCAGCCGGGTGCTGCAGGTCGGCGCGGCGCGGCGCGGCGCGGGGCGGGGCGGGGCGGCCGGCGAGCAGCCCGGAACTCCGCGGGGCCGAGGGCCGGCGGCCGACCCCGAGTGGCGGCGGGCGCTTGCAGCCCCAGGGCCGGTGCGGCTGGCGGAGGAGCAGCGCGGCAGCGGCCGCGGCAGAGGCGACCGCCCCCGGGGAGCGAGCCGAGGAGGGCGGGGAGGCGGGGTGAGAGGCGGAGGGCGGGGAGGCGGCGGCGGGACGAACTTCCCGCGGCGCGGCGGGGCGGGCGGCCGTGGCGGCCGGGGCGGCGGGGGAGGCGGCCGCGGGGAGCAGAAAAGTTCCCCCGGCGCGGAGGGGGAGGCTGCGGCGGCGGCGGCGGCGGCTGCGAGGAGCAGGAGCCGGGGCGGGAGGAGCGGGAGGAGGAGGAGGAGGAAGTGGCTGCGGAGCGCTCGGCCAATGAGTGTCTGGAGCTGTGATTAACCAGCAGCAACACATCATTTCCTCCCGGCGCGGATCCAGGGAGCCGGGAGGGAGAGGCGAGGCGGCGGGGCGGGCCGGCCCCCGCGCCCCCTGCAGGCGCCCGGCCGGGGGCGAGCCCGCCGGGCCTGACCGCGGCCCCCGGCGCGCCCCGCGCCGTCTGCGGGCCCGGCGGCGGCTCGGAGGCGGGCGGGCCCGAGCCGGGCTCCCGCGGCCGCGGAGAGGCGGCGCGGCGCGGGTGAGTGCCCAGGTAGGCGCGGGCGGGGCTGTCTGGACAGCGCCCCGGGGGCGCGCGGGGCGGGCGGCGCGCGGCCGGAGTCCTGCTGGTCACGCTCGGGCCGGGTTCTCGGAGAGAACCTCAGCGTCCTCATCCAGCCCACTTCTGACCTGTCTTCAGATCCCCCGTGCACTCTGCTCCTTCCCTCGCAAGGTCTGGGGTTATGCAAGAGCTTGCCACTGGCGCAGTCGGCGTCCTTAGCAATAAAAAGATGCGGGGGGTGGGGGGAGGTGTCCTGCAGTAATCTAGCCCTGTCCTAGGCGCCATGGGATTTTACAGTGGAAAGGAAGGAACATTCCCCGCCGCAGAGGCTGACAACCTCGGTCCTTGGATACGCGAAAACACTCCAGTGTGCTAATATTATCCAGAGCATCAAAAAGGCATGCGAGGATCAAATTTTGCATGGTGTCTGCTGAGTGTGAGGAAAACACCAAGCCATTTTCTCTGCCCTCTAGAAGCTGGTAATGCACAGTCCCATCACAAAGCAAAATAAAAGCATGAAACCAACAAATGGGAATACCATAAAGGATTTTTATCTCTACAGGTTCATTCATGCAGCAGGCAGTTCTCGGATGACTGCAGTACTGCAGAAGGTTGCAAAGGAAGTGGAAGCTCTGGTTCCTGCAGGTCAGGAGTTTACAGTCTAATTAGGAACACAAGCATATATTCTTGCAACAGGTAGAAAAGAATCCCCACATATAATCAGCAAGAAAAGAAGGCTAGGGGCATTTTTTTCAGAAGGGGAAGAACTTTATGCCTATGTGATCGGTGGGCCTCAGGAAAGGAAATTCCAGATCAATTATCAAGAGTGCTTGTATGTATCCCTGCTCTGTAAGCAAGGGGACCTCAGTGTCACTTGGCTGAAGTCTCAGTCCTGCCACGTACAAATTGTGTGCCCTTGGGACGTTTTTAACCTCTCTGAGAAAGGAATATGGCCTGTCTCATGAGGTCTGTTGTGCAGTTCAAATGTGATTACACATACCTGTAAGCTCAAGCCACAGTGTTAATGTTCCTCAGTTCATACATTTACGGAGCCCTCATTTTACTGGACTTTTCTTGATTCACTTGTTTCTAGTCTCTAGGCTGTAAGCTCCATTGAGGGCAGGGCGGGGTTTAGTTGTGTTCACCATGCATCATCATGTCTAGCAGAGTGGCTCAATAAAGGTTTGCTGAATAAGTTGGTGAATGAACTAATGAATCCTTTTAAGCTTTTAACTGTTTCTTTTGTATCTTTTCTTTTACTAGTGCTCTTGTTATATGGCCAGCTCAATGCAAAAACCTGTAACTCAACCCTCCTATGGCTAACCTATATTCCAGGGGACATTTGGGTGGCTTCTGGGTAGTTCTTGTGGCCTTAGTACATAGATTGATTCATACATAGAACAGGAAGATACACAAGGATACATTTCTCCACACAAGCCCTGTCCACACAAGGATATGGTTTTTGGCTTGGACACCTTAATGCAGGGTTTGTCTACTTTGGAACTATTGACATTGTTGACTGGGGAATTGTAGGGTGCTGTACTGTGTGCGCTGTAAATGTTTTACAGCATCCTGGGCCTCTGCCCATTAGATACAAATGAGACGCCTTCCCTCCACAGTCATGACAACCAAAATGTCTCCAGATACCACCAGATGTCTCCTGGGGGTCAAAATTGCCCCCTGTTGAGAACCACTGCCTAACTCTGATATCTAATCCATTGATTTGATTCCAGTGGAAAATTACACCAGTAAAGTAACTTGGAGGAAATACATCCTCTGTTATTCTAAGATTCTCAGATCTCTTCCATCGTATGTTTCAAGGAGCACGACTCTTGTTAATTAATTGCCTGCTGCATTGTGAATTGGCATCTCTTCTGTTTTCTGCATATCCTCCTCCTTTACGCCCAGATCAACATGTTCATTTCTAAAAGTCAACAGCTTTCAAAAACTATTAGGAAACTGGGTCTTGAGCAACCTACGAGTTCTGTACAATATTTTCCTATAACATTTGGGTAAAACTTATTCTATAAAATATTGCAAGAAGCTACCCTGTTACAGTTAAGCTCTTAGATTTACAAACAATAACCATAGCCTGTCTGCACTCAGATTACAAGTGATATGGGATACAAATTGTAACTTTTGGAAATGACTTCATTTAAAGTATTTAAGTAACTACATGGAGTGATTTTCTTTCATCACGAAACCAATTTTTTTTTATTCCCGAGAGATTTCATTGCATAATGGTTACAAGAGAACATGATTTACTAAAACCTGTAAAGCAAAAATCAGCTTAGTTACACATGTCAATATCCAAAAGCAAATTCTTTAAAAAAAAATTTGGTGGAATGTTTGAGAGCTGGTGCTATTGATGAAAAATCCTGATGGATTGATGGGCTACAGTTCAATTTCTAAAACCTTCTTGAAGAAAAATAAGGAGTACTGGTTAAAGAAATAAACAAATTCTGATAAGTCTGTCCACTCACTATGGGCAGGTAGAACTGAAAAACCTCTACTCCTCAGAGGCAATAGGGCAGTGTTTCCAAAGTAAGCAGCCATTTTTGTCCAGCAAGGCAGTATCTTCTTGTCTCATTAAATGAAGTTATTTGAATCATCAGCTTGATAGTTCTGTGCATATTCAGTTTGGGTTTTATAGTTGTGTAATGGTTACAAGCCTATGGAGATTACTTTGCATCTAGTTTAGTGATTGTGCACGTTAAGGTGGTTGTGTCCAAGACTAGGTAGGCATCCAAACTGCTGAGAAAAAGAACAGTTTGACGGCTGGATGTGGTTTGTGGTGAAGAGATTCTCCCATTTCTGTTTTGTTAGACTGGAACTAGGACAAGTACTCTTAAGGGATCTCCAAGTTCTCTATGAAATCCATGAAATTGGTGCTTTTGCTTCAGTTGTAATATTTTTCAAAGAAATTAATATGATGCATAGTGAATGTCTGCCATGTATCCATGCTCCCATTATTCTTTTTTTGCTATGTACTTAAAAGAATATACACTTTGTTTAATTATATTTTAATAAAAATAATGTAAGGCATTACCGAAGTTCCACGTGAATTTTTTCTTTTTAAAGATGTCTGTACATTACTCAAGTATGAGAATAGTGACTCAGTTGCATCATAACTATTCTTGGAGAATGATGAATTAAAAGGCCTGGACATCTGGAATTTAGTCCTAATCCTGAGGCCCATAAGAAGCCAATATAATGCTCCAAAGATTGAAATGACAGGATCTCAGAGTAGTAGGCAACTGGTGGAAGAGAAAATTACACCTGAAAGGGTCACTAACAATCCTATCAGACCTGGCACCCTATTCTCCAAAGGTAAACATTTAACCAATCAGGACAGACACTTATTTATCTTCCCGTTAAACTTTCCCAGGTGTGTGAATGACTCATTAATTGTTCATTTTATACAGGACTTTACTGGCCATCTACCATATTCAGGCAAGTGTGGGAGCCACACAGGGAGTCCTCAAACTGTCTGCAGTTACTTTGTACCTGGGAAAGTGAATCCAGGCCCTCCTGGTACAGCAGGTTACCCTCAAACCAGTGTAAGGCTGCATGCCAACCACGTGATACAGGAGGCAATACCAAACGGTTGCAGAAAAGAAAGATGATTCATTAAATGGTGTTGAGGCACTTGGAACAAATCCTGGTAGTGCTTCCTCTCAAACCATTCCTGAAAATATTTCCAGAAGAAATAAAGAGTTAAAGACTTTTTAAATTAGAAATTAAAGCAAATATAGGTAGGTACTTATCATTGGATGGAGAAAGGACTTTCTAAACAAAAGCTATGGAAGAAATAAAAAAGATTGGTTGGCTTGACTGTGTAAATTTTTTCCCCTAAAATTCTTTGAGGGGACAATCAAACAACAAGGGAAACCACATAGTGAAGCTGCTTATATACTCCAAGGGTTAAAATCTTTTCTGTATTAAAAACTCTTGCAAATCAACAAAATGCACTCTTTAAGAGACAGTTGGGTAGATTCCATGAATAGATGAAGAAAAGTTCATCTTATGTGAACTTTAACATGAACATTAGGGGAAAAGTTTCCTCTATAATCTGAAGGAAGGGTAATGCAAACAAAACTGAGATAAATATTTCACACAATTTGTCAGCAATTGAACATATTCTCTGTTGATAAGATTGACTTTAGAAAGGACACTCAGTTATAGTGGATACTTATTTGCTTGGAAAGTGTAAATTGGAAAGCAATTGTAAACACCTTAAAAATATTTATACCCTTTGACACTTTATTCCGATTTCAAGAATTTATTCTATGAAAATAATCGCACAAAGATTTGTATATGAAGATAATCATCATCTAATAATTTGGGAAATGCCAATAATACAGCATAAGTTCAAAAAAATAGAATATAAAGGTAATATTCCAATTTCATAATCCTCATAAAACACATGAATCCCCTCCCCCTCACATAAACACAAAAATGAAAGAGTTAAGAGAAAATATTCTAAGATGTGCAATAATTATCTTTGGATCCTAGATACGAATTGACTTTTGGTTTCTTCTTTTTACATGGTGTGTGTTCCAACTTTTTTATTAGATATTACTTTTATAAGCAGAAATAAGCATTATAAGAAATATAGGCACATATTTTAAAAGGGCCTGACAATCAGAACAAAACCTGGCCGGTGATGAATGTATATGGATTTATATTTGTGAAGAAGAAGTAAAGAATTGAATTCAAATTTGGTATTTTTGTGCTCTGCTGGTAGGTCCATTTCTTTCAGAAGAAAGAGGACTCCCACCCTTATCTTATCCTTTGCCTGCATCTCAGTCTCTTTGTGACCAATTCCCTTGCAACCTTGAGGGCTAGATGCCCATCAGGCCTGTCCAAGGTCTTGCTCACATTCTGAAGCTGCTTGTGCTTCTAATTTACTTAACTAGTTAATTTAACTATATTGGAGATGTGGATTTTTAAAAACTAGGCTCATGGATGAATGCCCTCAGAATGATCAAATTAATTTCTTCCTCAAATTAAACAAATATATTTCAAATATAATTGTGTGGTTCCTAGTAGAATCCAGCATTACAGTGGCTTTTCATTTTTAGGGAACATTCTTTTGCCTGATTGGTCCCTCTGAGCATTGGCATCATGAAGACGTTTTCATGAATAAGAAATCAAATTAATTTTTCAAGTCCTAGCATGATAACCCCACTCTACCAATATCTAGAATCCAAAGGCTTCCTTTTTATTAACCTACTTTTGTTTAATGAAACTCCAGAGATCAGCTGTTAAGGTTAATTACATATAACTGAGAACTCACTGTGTGACCTTAGGCAGGTAACTTTAGATTGCAAAGCCCAGCTTCTCCAGGTGTGGAGAGATGGGTAAGTGGCATTTCCGAGGTCTCTCAATTTTGAGATTCCATGACTTGAGCTGGACTTTCTAAGAAAGTTATTATCTGATGTTGCTGATGGTGATATTTAACTTTCTGGGAACAAAGGGCTTTACAAATTCTAGAAACTGACAGGTCAGTGTGACTGGAGTGAAAGGAGCACGTGACAAATGGCCATGGAGGAGGACTGAGGTGGCCCGGCCCAGTCATGCAGTTCTCACAGAACCAGGCAAGGGAAGTGATTATAAATTTAAGCAGGGAGTGAGTGACAAGTTTGCTTTCCATCATTTATCATTACACTCAAGACATACATATTCCTTCATTAATAAGGTTTTTTCCCCTAGTAGTCACTTTATTGTTTAAAGCAAGAAATAAAATAGGCAAGTTCAAAAGGATATATTGTATATAGTGAAAAGTAAATCCCAGAAGCCACCCACTTCCCTCTCCTTACTGCCATCTTCTATGTATCCTTACAGAACGTTGTAGACATATGAAACTATATACATATTCTCTTATGCTTTAATACAGATAGTAGTATACTATGCACACATTTCTATCCTTTACTTTCTTTGTCAGTGTAATTGTATATCTTGATGATTACCAATCTATTAATAAATACCCTTTACTATTACAACAAAGTTACTACTATAAACTTTTACTACTCTTATTGTGCCTTCACTCAGGGAAGTATAGACTTACAGGATGCTAAATTTGGAAGGGACCAAAGTCTCATCTAGTCACAGGTCTGCTTTTTATGTGTGAAAAGTTTGTCCCTGAAAACGCATGTGATTCCTCAAGTTCCTTAAGGCCAGGTGTGAACTAGAACTTGGTTGTCCTAATCACCCTTGGTCCATTTATACTTTCTGATTACAAAGTAATACATATTGTAATCAAAAATACTTCTTAAACGGTATGCATAGTATGATCCAATTTTTATTCTTTAAATAAGTGTGTAGGATGCACAAAAATGAGTTTGGAAGGCTACACGCCAAGATGCCAACTCTAGGAATCTTGGGATGGTGGCAATGTAGGTGACCTTTGTTTTCTAGCAACTTTATTGAGATATAATTCACATACCACACAATTCACCTATTTAAAGTGTACAATTCAATGGATTTAGTATATTCACAGAGTTGTGCAACCATCACTACCATCAATTTTAAAACATTTTCATCACTCCCAAAAGAAACCCTGTACCCATTGCCATATTTGTACTTTTTATTCTTACGTTGTGTTTTCTAAACACTTTGCAGTAATTGTTACTTTTATAGTAAAAACAAATCTCTGAGAAGCAAATTTAACATAAAGTAATATTCGCTATAAAAATAAATACGCAGAGGAAATAGAGAAAATTATTTCAAAGAAGGTACAAAAACACCACTTAATTTTACTATTTCCAATATAAATAAATGAAATATTTTGGACAGTTTTCTCTTGGTCCTTTTAGTGCATATGCATCTGTTATCTATAAATACACATCATTTTCTTTTAATCTTTTTTGTTATACTGTGAGCATTTCCCCAGGTCATTAGCTATTCTCTGGGAGTGTGATTTCTTGACTGATTTAAACCTGTGGATGTACCACAACTTTTGACAGCATCTCATTACCTTAGGATGGATTCCTAAAAGTAAGAATCTAGGTCATATTCCCAGCTGCTAAGTACTTTGAACTGTTCCCAGTGTCTGGCCCATCTCACCACACCTTCGTCTACCTCTCCCATCAGATCCTCTGTTATCTTTGCTGATTCGGAAATTTTAAAAATCCCGTTTTAATTAACATTTATGTGATTGCTAATGAGCTCATACCTTCCTTATAAATATATTAACTGTATTTTTCTCTTTAGGTAATGCCTTTTACCTATTGGTCCATCTGGAATGTTAGTGTTATTGTTATTGATGAGTATTAAGAACTTTCTTTTTTCTTTCCTGCTGAGTACTGACCAGGTAGAAAGTCCAATCTCTTAACAACCTTTAAAGATTATGTTGGTTTCCACTTACTAGCAGCCACAGCTTTGCAGTGGGACGGCTGCCTTTCTTTAGAGTGGCGGGCCTTCATTTCTATTGCACTGCAAAAATCTCTTCCCTCTGTGAAGTTTCTTATATTTCCATGACACAATTGTTTGCCAATTTTATTCTAAAGCTCTCAAAGTTATACTGAATTTACTACTAATAATATAGAAAATGCATTAATAAGCCTTGATTTTCCTAAGTAGCCGTATAAGTTGTGTTCAACCAAATCCATCTGTCCTTATAAAAGTGAACATCAACACTGAACCTAATAGTAGTAGGGTATATAAAATGTACTCAGGTCTCATTTCACTTTTTTCTTTGACAAACATGAGCTTTTACGCCAATGAACAGTCTGAAATTTAAATATGACTTAGTCCCTCCTCATATTCCACCGCAAGAGTATAAAAGGTCACCAAATCCTCCAGTTGCTAACACAGAGTTCCAACTTGGAATGAAGGAAGTAAAGGTCTCACTCTTTCACAGCTGAAGACATTGCACTGATCACATCTAAGAAACTGGAGATTCAAAATGTGAAATGTGAAAACAGTTGAATCCATCCTGGAAAGGACCTTGGAAGGGAAGAGAAACACCCAAACAGCAAGGAAAAAGTGTCGATGAAAGTGTTTATTCCTGGATAGAAAATGGCCACATGACCTACTTGGGGAAA